CACTCTGACTTAACTTCTTCCAACACAGATCTGTTGGTTCTTTTGGCATCCCATGGCACTTTTAATGTTCTCCTCCAACACCATAACTCAAAAGCATCAATTCCATGGTCTTCCTTATTCACTGTCCAGCTTTCGCATGCATATGAGGTTATTGAAAATATCATGGCTTGGGTCAGGCACACCTTAGTCCTCAAGCTGACATCTTTGCTCTCCAACACTTCAATATTTTCTTCAATAGATAGATATAGATATACAGATATATTGTTGTTAGGTGCCATCAAGTCAGTACTGACTCAGAGTGACCCTATGCACAACAGAATTAAACACTGCCTGGTCCTGGGTCAACCCACAATAGCTGCTACTCTTGAGCCCATTGATGCTGTCACTGTGCCAATCTATCTCGTTGGGGGTCTTTCTGTTTTTCTCCAACCCTCCACTTTACCAAACATGATATCTTTCTCCGGTGATTGATCCCTCCTGACAATATGTCAGAAGTATGAAAGACAAAGTCTGGCCATCCTAGCTTCCAAGGAGCACTCTGGCTGTACTTTTCCCAACACAGATCTGTTTGTTCTTTTGGCAGCCCATGGCACTTTCAATATTCTCCTCCAACACCATAACTCAAAGGCATCAATTATTCTACAGTCTTCCTTATTCATTGTCCAGCTTCCACATCCTTATGAGGTTATTGAAAATACCATGGCTTGGGTCAGGTGCACCTTAGTCCTCAAACTGACATCTTAGCCTTCAACGCTTTAAAAAGGACTTGTGCAGCAGATTTGCCCAATCCAGTGCATCATTTGATTTATTGACTGCTGCTTTCATGAGGATTGATGCTTAATCTAAGCAAAATGAAGTCATTGACAACTTCAATCTTTTCTCCATTTATATGGATGTTATTTATTGGTCCAGTGGTGAGGATTTTTGTTTTCTTTACACTGAGATGCAATCCATACTGAAGGCTGTGCTCTTTGATCTTCATCAATAAGTATGTTAAGTCCTTTTGGCTTTCAGCAAGCAAGGTTGTATCATCTGCGTATCATAGATTGTTAATGAGCCTTCTTCTAATACTGATACCATGTTCTTCTT